GTTGTGGTTTCTGTGGATCACCCTGTTGATGCCTTATTAGATTCAAATCTGAAGAGTCTGGAGGCTAAGTCAATACTTTGGCCTCTTGGTTGTGTTCCTCGAGCCTTTTTTAAAGTGTGGCATGGTGCATTGTAGGCTAGTACTGCGTCATGGTGCTTGGTCTGCACTAGGTGAGTGCTTCAAGTAGCAACCACATGAATGCCAGGATCCAGGGTTTCCCAGCAGAGAATTGCATTTTTACGAGATGATAAATGTTAGTGATTTCATCTTTACTGGTTTTAACGTTGGTTGTAGCTGATCAGAGCAGCTTTGGTAAACTTAAGATAATAACCACTGTTGTGTGACTAGCTGTTAGGTTTAGTGAAGCCAGATAACGTAAACATATCCTGGATATGTTGAACTTGCTTCGCAGTACAGCCCTCATATGTTTTAAGAGGTTGGAAACATTCAGCAGACAGCAGTGAAACTCTTTTAAGCCCGTTGTTAAATTGCTATAAATTCAAATCAATGCCAGTTGTTACCAACACTCAGAAAAAGATTTGTGTGACAAAGGCAGGATCGTCTAGCCGTGAGCAGGACTGTCTGCGCTTTAAAACGATACCATAAATAAGCACACCGAGGACATATTTTCATCACAGTTAAGATTTATTTCATTCAACATTTCACATTACAAATATTTAAAAATTATGCATACTGTTATAAATAGTTGGCTGCAAACAATTAAATAACATTAGATTTTTCTTTTTCGTTTCACTAGCACTTCTACAGACCAACTCCTAGAAATATGGACATATCCGTATTACATAACTTAATTAGAAAGGAAAATACAAAAATAGGAACTTATAAAGTGAAATGACAATAAAAATTAAGGTGATATCTTAAGTAAAAAATGCTATTAATAAATACAACAACCTTCCCATACACAGTTAAAAACTATTGAAATCTTGCCATTAAGTAACATTAACAGACAAATATTTAAATATTTATTTTCCTTCAGAAAATGTGAACCATATATTGTGGAGCACAATATAGCAATTAGTAAAAACTAGACACTTTAACATATTAAAAGCTTCACCTCAAAAATATAACAAAAATCTGATCAAAATTATAAAAATCAATTATACATTCCAATTAAAAATATACCAATAAACAGCTAAATACATTGTTGACCTAATAATTACAATGCAATCAATCACAGTAGCTTAAAATAAACAAAATAAGCAAATGAGCACAAAACCTTTAATGTTTTAAAAATAACTTCAATTATTTATATTAGTACAAATAGTTTGATTTCTTTTCTTTTTTACAAACACCAGCATGAAAAGGATTACAATAACAGTAGAAAATGACTGTGAAAAACATATTAACATCTTCTTTAATTAAATGTCTGCAATTAAAAATGGCATTAAAGAATTACATTGCAAAGAGTCTTTATCTGGAAAAAGGTTCAAAAGAAGTATTGCACATAACAACTTGAAGTTACCTTGCAACATTTACCACATTCAAGTCTTTAAGCTCCCCTTCCTCCAGATAGGTCTATATAAGATCACCTCGACAGACAGCGGGGATGAGTTCTCAAGTCTTTTAAACAGTGTTCTAGAAAGGATGCTCAAAGTCCTGCACTGCCAAATCAATTTAAAGTTGTTTCTTTTTTCTTTTTTTCTATCTCTCTCTGTCATGTGCATCCTGCAGAGGTCTGCGAATGGGGAAGCGAGGAGATCAACACGTGGGGGGAGGGTGGAGGGGAGGAGGGTGAGGTGAGAGTGGGTTTGGGGTGTCCTTAACAACTTAATAGTTGAGAAACATTTGGTGCACACCACAACAATTAATTTTAATAGCTAATTCATGTACTTGTCATTTTCTCTTTTTTTTTTTTTTTTCCGTCATGCATGCTAAGGATTACAATAGGTGCTAGTTGGCAAGTTCAAGAATATATATATATACTTTTTTTTTTTTCAAATATTAAAATATCTAAACACCAAACATCCATTCTTGTGATACGAGATTCAGCATTAAGCGTGAACCGAATTTTGCATTCTCCTTATAATAAGTTATACTCCATCTATGGAGAGGAAACCAAGACAGAAGTTACCATTTCCAACTAGTATAGCCATGTTTAGAGACATTAACATCAATTTCAAATTACAACTGTGTATGTTTTTTTTTTTCTCGCCATGCTGTTATTGACCAGATTGACTGGAAACATCTAGTGTACGAAAAGCTAAGACCAAGAGAGCGATACACTTTGGTCTCTCCTCTGCAGATCTGAAGTCGCATCAACACAAGTGCGCACTTAGTTGTAAAGATTCCTCAGCACTGAAATGTATAAAAAGCATAACTGAAAATAATATATATTGAAATCACTCAACTTTTTTTCTTAAAATGAACATTTCCATATATGCAGATCTCTCAGTAACAAAAGTACAAAAGCTACCTTTCACAATGTGAAAAATTGAGGTATTGCAAAAAGGAGTTTCCCCATTTGTGAAAAATGTGCCTAAAATGACTGTTGGAAAAAGAAAAAATATTTAGAAAAGTAGTGCATAATAAATGTTTATATGTGCATGACAAAATAATTTAGCTAGAAAACACTGTACCAAAAATCAGCAGGCCATGTATAAAATAATCTTTTTTTTTTCATCTCATTTAACAGCAAATTCTTCACAAAGTGTTTTAACTTCTAAAATGCTCACCCACCACACCCACAAAACTAATGTCCAGGGTGCAAAACTGGTGCAATGACACCACGCCGATATGAGGATTCTCACTAGTGTGTATAATCAAGTTTCTGTACTAACTCCCTGACATTTAAATGCTCGGCTAGTAAGTTACCACTGAGTGACTTAAAACGTCAAACAAATGTGAGGATTAGTTTTACTTTCGCTGTGGGAACGTGCACTTGTTGTTAATTTTCCCAAACACGCAGACCTATTTGAGATCAAAAATAACTAGTGCCTGACAGCGCGCACCTTCATTTTGAGCTATGGAAAGTGTGAGGCCTGGTTTGTGTGTCTGCCAGCCCTGTTGTGTTTCCACTGGTGTTCTAATGGTTTTGACTGCACTGTCATATACATATATATATGTATATACAGCATGTATACACGTAGAGTATACATGCTGTATAGATCATGTTCAAGGCCAATCTTTGGTTTGCTGGATTCCATCAGGGCTTGACAGTTAAGCAAAACTGGGCAGAAGTGACAGATTTAAGAAAACATATATGAAAAATAAACATCCTTGAAGAAATGAGAAAGAAAAACAATTAAAAAAAAACAAAAAATCTAAACAAGAAATGAGCTACAGTATGACCCACTACTGCACAGCCATCTTTGGTTCCCAAAAGCCACTGGGCACAGCTGACTGGACCTGCAATCTCGCTTCCAAGAGCAAAACTGCATATGGGTCACAAGTGTGCAGTAGTAGAGCGCACTGCAGAGACTATCTTCATTTATGCTTCAAAAACACTGGATGCTGAGTTGGATTAGCTTGGCAGGAGAAAGGATCGAGGGTTTGCTGAAAGGGCAAGATCCCTCCATGACTCATATGTGTGCTGACGATTCGGAAAGCAGATAAACTTTAATTGCTTTTTTCAGTAAATGCAGCTGACTCTCGGATGCAAAGTAGAACTTCTTTTTCATTAAAGACTTGGGAGAATTGCACAAATGCATTTTCTTTAAAAAAAACAAAACAAAACTAACAAGACAGGCATTTCCTGTTCGGTGGTAGCGCCGTAGAAACTGCAATAAAGGTGGCCACTCGACCAGCCTCCTCTCGAGGAGTTACTTTAACCTCCGTCCTGAAAGATCTGGATCCGAGCCGCGCCGTGTGCGGACACAAGACGGCAGGCTTTGATCCATGAATGAGGCCCTACCCTCTGTTAGCTGCTAGCTTAGCTGCAGAGAACCGCAGGCAGACATGAGGAGAGAACGTGGGGCTGGGTTTATCTCTTCACCAGTAAGCCTATCTCTCCTGTAGCCTCCCCTATGCCATACATTCCCATAATATACTGTACGTTGCTCTGCTCTGTCCCTAGCACAACCCTGGGTTTGATTACAAAAATAAGAAGGTGATGAAGCAAGTGAGTACAAAACTGTGCCAGTCACATCACTCTCTGCCTGTTACATCGCTTCCCTCTGATTATAGTTCTAAGGAAAGGAGAACACCAGAGAGTGATAACGTTTTCTTTCTTCCTTGCTCTCTCTCTCTCTTTTTTTTTTTTCCTTTTCTTTACTGTATTCGGCACATTAGCAGCTGAGTTTGAGGTATTAGTTTTTGCATGTCAAAATGGAGATCAAAACCCAAATCCGTGTTGCTAAAATTTTGTCATTTTCAAGTAACATCAAAATATTTGTATGGTCTTGGAAATCATAAAAAGAGAGGTTCAAACATTTTGATCTGGGAGGGAAAAGAATCCATTTCGTTCTGCAGTAGGCCCTCTCTGTTCTTCAAAGTTAATTAAGATTCAGCTTTGGTTAACTACTAAGGGTCTCATATACTGTATCTTCACTCTTTAAACAGGAAATAAGTGCACTCTTCTTTAGCAACACCTTTTTTTTTTAATTCACATTTGCTCTGGAGCCTCTTGTATCAATAGCAAACTTAATCCCACCTCTCTGAAAATAACAGCCAATGAGATACTGTTTGAACAGTATTTGCACTGGAGACTCGCTACTAAACAAAAAGTAATAGCTCTGCTACAAAGAAGTCAGTCCAATGTCAAATGAAGAGTATTTGTTTTGGGGCCTCTTGTATCAAAATTAAAATCAAATAGTTTAGAAAAATATGCCAATTGAATAGCAGAGTACCATATTCCACACCTCAAACTACTTTCCTATATATGTATTTTTTTTTTCAGAACTAATAAAAATATTTCAAAAATCAAAGCATAAATAAAATTATGTTACACATCTTTTTTTTTTTTCCTTGCTGGACATATTTGGATATAATTCCAGTTTTTCTTTTCTATCTTCAAAATATTGATATATATTAACTTTAAAAAAAAAAAAAAAAAAGAGAGAAAAATGTTCGGTGAAATTAGAGCAAAAAGGAACCAGCAACAGAAAAGTGCATTTATTTGTACAATGATTTGCGACTCCTGCACTACCTGCCCTCCTGCTCCTCTGTTGCCTCTCCCTCTCTTGTTGTCCGCTCAGTTCCAGCGGAAGGAGATGTGACGGGGTCGGTCGCCTCCCTCCTTCACCAGGGGTTTGTGAAACTCTCGGCCTGCGCGCGAGTGGATGGCCGCCCAGCAGTACTCGCAGTAGTACTGCAGGCAGGTGACGTTGGCGCAGAAGAACGGCGCAAACTTTCCTCCGCAGCGAGTTCCCTGGCACTCATCGCACAGCTGGTCATCCAGCACGTATGGCTTCACTTCCACCTGAAAACAAAAATCACATTTGATTCTTCTGTAGTTCAAGTTTCTCTATACTCCTCTTTCTTTATCATTCCAATCAGGTGCATGGAAGGTAGGAAAACTATCCTAAAACTTATAAAAATGTAGTTAATATACAGTAGCTTCTACTCGTGGGCTGCAACTACGGCATTGTTCGTCCAAGTTATAATCCTTAAATCTTCCACCCTGTTTTTGACTATGTATACTCAATGCATAATTCATTCAGTGCATTTACATTTAGTAATTACCTCTCTAGTATACAGTAGTTTTTGTAAGTCTTAGTGGCGGCACCTGCCATCCCTACACGCACGAGGGATTCACCGGAAAAGGTATAGGTCTGTAATCCGGCTTACTGTTACTGTTTGTAATTTTATCACATTGATATGAGCTCCGCTGTTTACTTGTTCGTCTCCTACTGCTGCTGTATCACAGCCTGATCAAGTTACCACTAATACAAACCACACATTCTTATAGTTTACATTAAAAAACATGAATCTGGTGAAAGCATTCACAGTAAAAACCAATGTATTTGTCACAGCCCTTCAAGGTTCTATGTATGAGACTTTGAACAGAAATATAGCAACAAACAACCATCTGCTCCGTAAAGATATAGTGGAGTAATGGCGTCCTTAGCAGAGAGTGAAGTCACAGCCCCTCTGTGCGGGTTGTAATCTGAACGCTGATGTTCTGTGTTTTGGTAGCTGGTCTAGCCACATATGCATGAGTCCCTCTCTTTGAAATTGCTTCCTTGCATTGACAAACAAAGCGACAGTGACCTCCCACATTGCATTGTAAGCACAGGCTCAGTCTGAATTATTCAGCTGCTGCCCTCCCCCCAAAACCAGCTCATTTTAGCTCAGTCTAAGAAGTGAAGATGATGCTACTGACGTTTACAAGTAGTAATGGCCATTGAGTGTATTTTACAATAGCAGCATGGGCTACTGGCTATGGCTGGATTATTTTATTGCTTGTTCTCGTGTACACAACCTTTATGAAGATGTGTCCGATGGCGCCCGTTTGTTTTGGTCTGAGATGCTGGAGCAAATGACATCCAGTGGTTACGAATGTCATATACAGGACTTTTTTTTCTTACAGCTAACAATCATCAGAAATGATGCCACAATTAAAATGAGGTCACTTTTTAAATATTTTTTGACAACCATTGATTTTCTCTTATTGCTCAGAGTTATACAACATGAAAGAAGATTTCTGCAACCTTTCTTTGACGTTTTCATAGTAAGCAATCACTAGTGTCACTAATCAACCAAATTTTATTGATCGAATGGTGACAATTCAATTTCTTAGTGGCCCTTATTGACTTTTGTAAAGAGCTACAAATACATATTTAAATCACAACATATTTGAATGGATATTTAAGGTTGTTTAAGTGTCAAGTAACACCGCTAACTTCATGATAGTTGTTCAAATGCTGAAATGAGTGGATTTCAAACTTCCTTTCCAGACCACACACATATTTTGAAACACCTACTACTTCCTTTTTCCACTTCTCAGTGATGGGGGATTGCGCTGTTAGCCAGTGAATGTCACTGAGGCACTCAGACTATGAAATTTGCACACCAATTATGCAAATGAAAAGCACCTACTATTATTCCATTATTTCATATTATAATGTTGCCTCTACACTGCATATTTCTGCTGGGCTTCTGCTCAAGTTATCTTCACTCACCTATTGTGTAAATGTGAATAATATTTGTGTCATTAACCGGCGATCGTACGCCGTATAACAAACCTGTAGGTATTCTCTGCTGACAGCCTTTGCTCATAAGCATCAAAATCACACAACCGTGCACCATGCAAGTGATTGAAAGGTCCTGAAAATCGTGGGATTCAGGAGTAGCAGAATTTGTATCCTTTTTCACAGATGATAATTTTTTATGTCACAGTAGGAGACGCACAGGGGTGGCAAATAAATTAAATGACACTTGAATTCATTTAGCTGCTTCAGTTTTAGGGTTCTGGGACTGCACATGCTGCTGTTCAGCTTACTGCAACATTGGAGTACAATATCCACCTGTACCTTACTTAATGTCGCTATTTAAAATGTCATCTGTAGCAGTTGACTTGTACAAAACAGCTAATCGAGTTGTAAAGTGGGAGGAGGAATTTCAGGCACCCCTAGATCTAGAAGTAAAAATCCCATTTGCTGCTCCCACAGAAAATGTGAGTCACGGTTGAAGCATTTCTGTGGCTTGGACCGGCTTTAAATTCTCCCAGTGAGTGAACATGATTAACAACGACATTCAAAAATGTCTTTGGTTTCTGATTAAAAAAAAACACAAAACATTTTATGTACAAGCTTGTGTACATGAAGTCTTCCGGGGGAGAAGTCAACAATGACTCCCGATTTGCATGTCAGCAAGAAACACCCAATCTACTGAGCTGAAAATACTGTCAACAGTTCTCTGCCTGTCTATAACACCTTGAGCTGCATCTCGCTTTGTTACTCTGTTTCACAAACTAGTCTGTTCCAGTTATTATACTTTGCGCTGTACCTGTTAAAATTAACCTGCATTAAAAAAAAGGTCAATAAAAACTAAATAAGAGATGTTACATGAGCCTAGAAATATTGTATATATAGTGCAGTACTTTTACTACAACAGAAACTGTTAAGGCCTTGTATCTTCTTAAAAAAATGGGGTAAAGGCAGCAGAGTTTGAGTGACTAGAACAGGAAGTGAGGTTGGGGGGGATACAAATAAAGAAGGGGGCTGAGAGGGGAGACAAAAAAAAACACTGAGCTCTCTTTTCTTTCCACTCACCCGTTTATCGATTTCTCCATGCTGCAGCTGTACAAAGCGAGCACTGATAGCAGCAATGTAGCTCTGCTGATTAGAGAAGGCGACCCGCCCCGCTCCCTTGGGGTACTTCAGCTCAGGGTCTGTGTCGATGCCAGCGTAGCAAACTCCACCATACAGGCGGTCCATGATCATGGCCAGCTCCACTGCAGAGAGGAAAGAGGGGGGTAGAAAGAATTAGCTCAACAAAACATCCACAAAAACAAGTTTGATGCAGAGAAGCGAAAGACGCACAACAACAATCATTCTGGTTAAGTCCAGTACTTACGTGCATACACACAAAGGTTCAATACAAAAACTCGTGTCCGTGTAGGCAGTGACTACAAACGCACTGCACGTTGAGTTCATGAGGGTTGTTGATCTGAGTGTTTAAACCATCAACACAGATGGATTAAAGTCCAGCAGTGTTTGATGGGGCAAATATGAGAGCAGTGCCCCGTGGACAGCTGCAATAAATCCCAACAAGTTTATTTACAGTTGCAGCTGAGTGTTTTTCCTCAACAGAAATTAACAAATATGGTAATTTTTGGATAACCCTGCAAATTTGCAATTCAGCTTTACTTGTTAAAACATTAAAAAAGTCAAATGGCAGTTTTTGTAATGTAGATTGTTTTTGCATGTAAATTTAGACTCCATTATTACAGAAGGTCATAAAATATTTAATGCGCAGCGGGGCCTTATGACCTTCGTCATTACCGCAACTGCAGCACCGAGGTCTAAAACAAGGCGGAAAACATGAACACAGAGTCAACAAAACATTGCTATCAGGAAAAAATGAAATTTAATATTCTGCACAGCACAGCTCGCCACGGAGAGTACTTCCTGATATAACCAGTGTAGGTCAGTGCCTTTATAGCTTTACCCTCTAGCAGGTCTAATTTTATTATGAACACAAGCTGATCACATTGCAGTGCCTCACAGAAATAAGTATTTTGCTTACAGCTGACATTTAAAAAGTTGGCAAGGAAACACAAGCAAAGGAGGACTACTTATTGCTCTCAATGTGTGGTTTGTGCTGTAAAAATATGCAGAGATGCATTGGAAAGATGATTGAAGTCAAGAAACAGAAAATGCAGAGAATATTTAAAAAAAAAAAAAAAACCTGAGAGTGAGACAATAACAAACACTTAAGATTCCACCCGTATGTACAGTACATACTCAAATGTAAGTGTTTTCATTATAAACACTCGTTTGTTCTGGTGAAAGAGGAGAGTCTTGTATAAAAACATTAAAGCACGGTATACCTGCACGGAGCGGACGAGGAACTCCTCCCACAAAAATGGTTTTCCTCGGGTCCAGAGGCTGAGATCCATCCATCACAAAATCGCTGTCATTCAGGTTCCATGGGCGGATCTGGACCTGTCACACACAAAACCCACAGGTTTCAGCTCTAGAAATAAACTCACAGGCTGCTGGTAAAGTCAAATAAAAGTCATAACCGCTGAGTTCAGGAGAAACAGCAAGAGATTTAAGCAGATGGGTGCATTAGTGTGTGTGTCTGTATGTGTGTGCGCGCGTGTTCTCCCACTGACCGGCTTGTCTTTGATGGTGGGGCTGGACACGCAGAGGTACAGCTTGCCGTCCTCTTCGATGCAGGCATCGATCAAAGCCTGAACTGAGCTCTCATCCTGGAACAGCAGGAAGGCATAGCCTACACAAAATACAGCAGGGTTATTTACGCCGCTGGGGCCACACAGTATTGACAAAGAATCGTGTCGGAATTTAGTGTGCTGATTACTGTGACTGTATGTCTGATCACGACACTCCGCATTCACAGCAGGAGGGCGTAAGCTTTTGCAAACAGACAAACACTACAGCCGTGGTTAACAAATGCTTCAGATAATAGCCCAAAGACAAAACCAGATTGCACAGATGCATACATATTGATAGACGTAGACTGACACAAGGCTAGCGCACGTAGCTGTGTGGCGAAAATCAGATACTAAAAAAAAAAAGGTCTGCCTTTTTGTAGAAAGATGCTCAATTTACACCGAAGCACTGTTTCACAGAAAAATACAGCAACATGTGAACAAGCTGTGATGGCAATTTAAGATACCTTTGGGGGGGAAATAGGATTTGCTCTCAGCTTTGTGAGGCCAGTCCACAAACAGGTGTCCAAAACGCCGGAAACTAGCAGTTATCTCATCTGCAATTAACAAAACAGAATGAAAACTCATTGTCAGTCCACAGGTTTTTGAGAGAAGCAAGTCCTGCCACAGGTTTCACAGCAGCGAAATATACCTCAAGTGTTTTAGGTGTAATCTTACAGTATACCTTTTTCCACCAATTTCCTCTCTTGTAAGTTTAAATAAATACAGAAAAGGATTACAATTAGCCCAAGATTTAATCCCTCATAATCTTCCTGTACCTTCATCTATATCTGGGGGCAGTCCTCCAACAAAGACCTTGCGTGAATAACGTTCGACGCGCTCTCCGTTCTGGTGTGGAAAGCAGTGTGGAGAGCCCAGGCCCGCCAGACCCTGGTCGGCACGCTCATCGTCGGGGAAGCCATCCTCCATGGGGAAGAGAGAGGAGTGGCCTGAGAGAGAGAAGAGGAGGATAGCAGGTCAGATTTATTTCCTGAGGAGAGAACAGGGATGTGAAGATAAGTCATGTCACAATAATGACCCTTGATTTTTTTTTTTTTTTGTTGCAAGATTTCATTCACTTTTTTTTTCTGCCATCTAGTTGGTACAGGTTGAAAATAATAATTAAAAAAAAACTTCTACATCGCTATGGATGCATTTAAACATGTTTCCTCGAGAAGTATGTGGCAAGAACGAAATGTGTTACAGCTGCAAAAGTGTTCAAAAGCAGACCACAGACTGCTAATATAGAAAAATACTGCTGTCTGAAAGCAAGAAAAACACACACACACACACACACACACACACAGGTTAGCAGGGGAATCCCTTTAAACTAAAAATCCAAGTGTTTTATCAAAATTAGGAGACACGTGGATGGACAAATGTAAGAATTCATTCCAGTCTAGCATGGAGATCATAAATCATAGTCGTAGCCACAAAAAACGGACTGGATGAAAGCAAAAAGCAAGAAATATACGGTGTTATGATATGTGTTATCTGAGACTTCGTTACTCTGATTTAGTTCCTAAAAATCACAGATGGGCCTCTCCTGTGCTGTCTTTGAGCACTGAACATGCATGCAGGTGATCACACAAACAGCAGCAGTGACCAAGTCTAAATAGTGGAGTGTGTGTGGTAGATGTTAAGCTCTCCCTGGCCTATTCTTGCACCCATACAACCTGCCCTGAGCTGCTTTATAAAGATTTATGCGAGGGAGTTAGCGTTAACTTACAACATGTGCCGCGTATAAGTGTATGTGTGCCAGGCCATGTGTCTGCTTCTGTCGAGTTTAAATCAACACTTTGTGCGCCTCGCTGCCTCGTTAACTTTCAACTAAACACGACACTCGCTTGTATTGTTTGACTTAATCTTACAGTGTGTATGTGAAAATGAGAAACAGCAAGCGGAGGGAAGCATAACGACGATAAACAAAAACGTAAAGATGAAAGATGCATAAAATCACTTCACAAGCTTATAACCAAGGCTTAACACTGAGACAATCATGCAGACAAACACCTCACTGTAAGTACATAAACAGCAGAGTCATTCAAAACTTATATGCCCATTAATATAACGACAAACCAGCAGCCCATACTCAATAAAAATCACAACGACACGGCTTGATAGTCAAAACATTAAGACCTACAAAGCGAAAAATATGCTGAAAAGGTGGCACAACGTATTGATGGTTATGTTTTACCTCGTCTCCTGCTATAATTCCTGGCTGCATGTGGAATAAGGACAAATCAAAGAAGAGGATGTTTATAAAAGGCGCATAATACACTGTACCAATAAAAGTGCCAGGTGGTTCATGACAATGGAGGAATGTTCCATTGTCAGGCTGCCTGCCCTTTATTTTGTTAATCAGTGATGGATCACAATCTACTCATTTAACATGAAGTCAAAGAAGATTTTTTTTTCCCAATAGGGGAAAAAGGTTGCATTTAATAATTTAAAATTTGAATATGTGAACAATAATTTGTCCTCACTGTTAAAAAAAATAAATTAAAAAAAGGATGTAGATATTTTACAGTCACAAAGTGCTTCATTTTCAAAAGAGACAACCCCAAAACACAAATAACACAAAGGATATCTCAGTTAAGCCGTAACAATTTCACTGAAATATTTCCTGTAGCAATAAAAGAAAAAATCATTAGCATTGGGATAACAACCATAAACAAATCAATCGAAAGACGACAAAATTCAAAAAAATGTTGCACCACGTGAATGTTTAAAGGAGAGAATCATAAAACTGATGCTTTGCCAACCAGAGTTCCGAGCCACTGTAAACCCTGAGAACATCTAACAGAAATAGCACAGAACCCTAAAGTTATAAATTAGGCATGATTTTAAAAAGCTTCATATACGGCAAACAAAAGAAAGGACTTTTGGGTTCTTCAAGGTGAACCTAATGTGCTGAATGTGAGAGCCCCTGCAGAGGAAATACAAAAAGAGAGACATGCACAGAAACATGCTCAGGGACAAAAATAGCAGCTTTGCTTGAATTTAATTGCCAGGCATGATTAGATACTCAATACTGGCTAAACAGCTGTGTAGCTTCTTCAGCTTGACAAAAGAACTAAAAGTTTCGGCGTGCAGGAAGACGTTCCTGCCTTCTTATTATGACACAAAAGGAAAGGAGAAGAAAGAGAGAGGAAAAAATCATCCAAGACCTGAATCGTAAGCTACACTACAGATAATCAGGGGAAGTGATAAGATCTGTTAAACCCACTGCACCAGTCAATTAATCCAAATATTCTACAAGGCATCACATGCATCATTAAGGGCGAGCGGCAGTAACCCGACAACAGCAGATTCAAATGACAGAAACGAGACTGAAATATTTCCAGTACGTCGCCATAATTCAAACTTTACCAAGGGCAGGCTAATGCGGATATCAGTGCACTAGTGTGGCTAACCTTGGGGTGGCAAATAATGTTTCTTTTGCGGCTAGCCGAAGCAGAAGAATTAAAATGTGAACACTGGGGCGATTTACGCATCGACCCATCTGAAACTGTAAGAACACGGAGAGGATGAAGAAGTGGCCAGAGCACACGAGCAATAATCCTCGCCTCCCTCCTCTCCAACCCAGATGGACATTAACTCCAGGGGGAAGGTCAAACAGAGCTAGAAACAGAGAGAGACAGGAAAGCAGATTGAAAGAGAGCGGAGAGTGCTATAAAAAGATGTGTGTGTGTGTGTGTGTGTGAGAGAGAGAGAGAGAGAGAGAGAGAGACAGAGAGAGAGAGAGAGAGAGAAATAGATTGGAAGAGATGGAGAAACGAGCTGATAAAAAAGCCGTGTGGGGGTGAGAGAAAATGAGTGAGAGATCAAGAGAACGAGGAATGCAATCTGTGTATGCTTAGGAGGCAG